GAAACAGAAAAGCTAGGAAGCTGAAAATGAGGAATGCTTCTCGCTTATGTGTGGTCCCGTAGATCTGATTTCCGTCTTGCCCTGTCGCTGGTTACAACACACGAACCTGTGAAAGTTTTGGAGGGAGAATTATTATCTCGGGAACAACGAAAGCTGGAAAGCCAAAATTTTAGCAGAATGTTCCCCTCCTAAATGCGACCCCGCAAACTTAGTTCCAGCCTTACCGTCCGCCTGGGTACCACCTATGGGCCCACGGAAGTTCGGCGGGGAAATTACTATCTCGGGAACCACGAAAGCCAGGAGACTGAAGTTTTAGAGTAATGTCTCCTGCCCACGTACAGCCCCGCAAATTCGAATTCCGCTTTAACATAAGCCTGGGTCCTACATGCGGCTCTCCGAAAGCTTTGGCAAGAAAAATTATCTCGGAGGGCAGAACAGCTAGAAGACTAAAAAGCTCAGGAGGATGTTTTCTGCTTATTCAGGGCTAATAAACTCAAACACAGCTCCCAAGTATGACGAAGTTCTCTTTGTAGGACCACGTGAAAGTCTTGGTACGAAAGTTGCTCGCAAGCCAGAGAATTGGGAGGTTAAGATTTTGGAACAGCGTTCGCCATCCAGGGTTCTAAATTCAGCTTTCATGTACGTTTGCGCTTCATGTACTGGTATGTGAAATTTTTAATGGGAAATTTCGCAGCTTAGGAACCAAACAAAATGCCGATTATTTTTTCACAGACCAGACTATAAAACAGTGAAAATCCTTAGCACGCAAACGTCCGCCGGACAAAACTGTGCAAAACACACGATCGTATCGGCTATCCTGGTGCGCGTCGCTATTTATTTTCTAATGTTGAGCCTTTTGACCATACCCAACACAACGAAAAAGAGAGAACCTTCGACAATAACATCGAAACGGCGATCCAAATTCGACTCGGTTTGGAAAACGCATTCGTACTGGCCTGCTGTTTCCATGCTGACATTGAACACCAGCGTTTTTCCATAAGCTTCAAAGGAATATCGAGGGTCATCTTCAGCAATATCGACACCATTGTGACGCCACACTGGTTTGGGCTCCGGACTGAAATCGGTGAATGCTGCCACTGTTATATTCAATCAAATAAGTGGGCTTTTTTTGTGATTTCCTCATCTGCTTCTTTGAAAATCCGCAACATATGTAAACATGCAAGAAATGAGCAAAGCAGAACTGGCGAAAATAGCTGACATTCTCTTCCAGCAATATCAACCAAATTATGTAAGACTACTGAACCTGATGCTCCTCACTCTACAGTATCACCACTTTCAGTACCTTCTGGCAGATAAAAATACGCTGCTCTCTCCTTCCATGTATGCCTAATGCAGTGGTATACGATCACAGCGCAGAAAACAAGAACACTCGTTAATGTCAGTTTGGATAAATCCACAGACCCAATACTTTTTGAAAATGGCTTCTGCAAAGCTTCTCTATTTCCTACAAAAAACGAGAGCATTACCTCGTTCAAAGATCAATCCTGCGTAAAATGTTTTGGACTGGCTGTGTGCGGAACCAACAGCTCATCTAAGCAAATTGCTTCCTCTCTTCAGAATTTAATCCTCTCTCTCTCCCTCTTGCTCACTACTAATATTTCGAAAAAGGGGAAAACTGCTGCTGCACTCAGCACTTAATTAACATATGAAAGATGCAAAATCGCGTCCTTATCATAAGAAAAATTCCGATAACTGTAGATGAAGACAACAACTGCAAGAAACTCCAAAAGGCTGTCTTTTTGATTACTTGGCTGAAGCACACGCACCGACTGTTGACGCGAAGATGCATTTTTTGCACAGTCCTCCTGCAGGTTCTTGTTGATAAGGGCACTGCTTTTTCCAGCAGATGCTTCTAACCAGAAGAATTGGGAATAGCCACCACGACTGTAAGAAATTAAAATGACTCCCAATTCATGCTCAAAAAATTCAGTACTCCAGATGCTTCGGTTGCGGATTTACATCGAATCTCACGTGTTCGTGAGTGGAAGGGACGTGGAGTTGTTTCCTCGTGCGCCCCTCCCAGACACGGCTCTGGGCCACACTCAGAAAATCCCAGCGCTCCAGCGGGCTATGTCAGATTTCATGTTCCCCTAGGTGAGGATAACGTAGCAGTTTTTTTTTCGCGTGCACCTAACCAAATACTTCCGAAGACCCCCTGAAAAGTTCGACTGTGTAGCTGCTCTGGTTGCAATGTTACGCCAAATTCCACGCGTTCATACATGAGGGGAAGCGTGAAAGTTTTTCTCACGCATGTCAGCCCAAACACGGCCGTGGACTATGTTCAGGAAATTTGAGCATTCCGGCTGTCTTGGTTGCGGGATTACGTCAAATCCCATCTTACCTTACGTGAGGAGGAAAGTGAATGTTGTTTCTAGTTGTCCCTGTTTAAATGCGGCATTGGGCCATACCCAGAAAATATGTGCGCTCTACCTACTTCCGTTGTGAAGTTACGTTAAATTTCACCTATTTGTAATGGACACGCACGTGAGACATGAAAGTTAAAGTTGTTTTAACGTCCACCTGGCCAAAAGCCGCCGCCTGCCATGTTCAGAAAATTTCAGCCCCCTAGCTGCTTCAGTTCCGAAGTTACAAAACTATCTACGCTAATCTTCATGTGTCTATATGTGAAAAGCAGAGAGACTGGAAAGCTCAACTTACTTTCACGGGCACATCAGTAGGCGACAATCACGCTGCAAAACTACAGCTCTCTAGATTTTCTCAGTCAGCTTAATTCTCGAGTCGGTACGATACAGTTCAGACTTTAACGAGTGCGTACGTGAGATTTAGGCGTGCGTGGAAACTGAATTTAAAACCTTTCGGTTGGGCGTGAACAGGAAAATATTCGTGAAGTTTCAGCCTTCCAGCCTGCGTAGTTCCCGAAACTGCGTACCTGAGAACCATGTGGACGTGGGCGTTTATTTTGAGGACTGTGACCTGTACGTAGGTGTAGACTAAGTTGCAAAAGTTTCAGTTTCCTAGCTTTTGCAGGTCTCGAGATGAAAATTCGCCACAGACGCACACATACATACATATACACACACATGCACATACATATACACACACATGCACATACATATACACACACATGCACACACACACACACATGCATACATACATACACATGCATAGATATATACACATACGCATACACACATACATACACAAACATTGACATACATACACATACATAGACAATCTCTCGACAATATGCGTTTTTGCATTGCACAGGTGCAAAAAACGCATCAAAATTAAAGTGTAAAATTTATGCTTTACATTACTACACTCGTGCAGCCCATACAATGAAATAAGTCCGCAATTCTCAGCCTCCAAACTTTCTTAGAAAGCTTGTGGATTTACAGATGAGCCCTTGCGATCCTTCGAAACCTCTTGCTGCCCTCCAGTTTTAATGATTTTTATACAAAAAATTGTCATAAACGAACAACTGCCATAATTTAAACGCCTACGATAATTTCCTCTTCTTTCCGATTTAAGAGATCCTCCTCCTTCCTCTTTCCCCGCTCTCGTGCAAATCCCAGCTTTTTTTTTTGGAAAAAACATCTTTTTAAAAGAATTAACCAATAAAATAATGTAGTCAACGTAAATAGACTGTCAAAAAGATATACACAAATTTTCAAACATATATATATATATACAAACATTTAAACACATGCGTTGAGTTTTCAATATAAACTGAAATAAAATTTGCAAAAATTGGATTGACGAAAGAAAAGCGGTGGAAGGCTGTTGAAATTGCCTAAAAATACAATTTCCCAATTTTGAAAACTAGAGTGCTCTGCAAATTAACTACACAAAAAATTCGAGAAACTGCTGCAATGACTGCCGATGCCCCTTTCTTGCTATTCCTTCTTTCAGAGTCAAATTCCGCAGGCAGACATTCCCAATCAATATTTCTGTGTGTAACCATGCGAAATGCGAGAAAATGATCATAAATTCAGGAAAAACTAATTCATCCGGATTAGTCAGATGAGTGGTACAATTCCAAGAATTTCTAGGGGAACTCTGTGTATCATTCCATGCATCATTCTCAAATTAATTTCCAGCACTTTTTTATTAAGTCATTGGAAATTGCGCATATTCACAGCAATTACTAATGGTGTGTTTCGAGCGGAGCACAAAACGCTGAGCACTGGTTACTAATGATACGAGTGATAGCTGATTGTGAGCAACATGTAAACAACGCCCCTTTGGGCTTAACTACAAATTATGGTTGGTAACAAACTGTTACATCAAGCAAGCGAACCAGGATCGCAACCATTCTACGCAAGGCGCCCATGCGTCAATATGATGCATCAGCGGCCCAAAAGCATCAAGATCTTGTCCCGGACCACGGATCACAGCCGCTTCGCATTCGCCTGACACGTACCCCAGCTACATCCCTGTACAGCGCTTTCCTGACTTTCTAGGGCTTGCAAAGATGAGGCCGGTATCATTCATACCGCTTACATGAGCACGCCATGACGAGGAACCGATACCTGACGCACACTTCTCAGAGAAAGCAGACAAACTGACGAAGAAAAAAAAAGGAAGTTTCGGAAATGAACAAGAACTTACAATCCACTGAAGAGACAATGCAACTTATGTGTTGTTCCTTGCAGTGCGATCGGAGCACTCTGATTTACATACTGCTCACTTGGAGGTATCGGCGACGTCACTGCAAAACAAACATGCAAACAGCGATGGCGCCAGCGACACATCCAAAACATCAATTATGCAAATTTTACATTCAGTGCAGCACTGACTACAACAAAGAACCCAGGCTGCAGCTTGCCGGTGCAATCATGCGTTTTTGAGCTGGAGTTATGGATCGTTAACAGCAGGAATGGTTCCTGTGCTAGTTTAACAACTGGATTCATACTGGCTGTGTTTTGGCCTTTTTCCGCATGCACGGGGAAAGGGCGTCGGTTAGGATGGAGGAGTTGCATTATGGGACCATATGGGCCTTTAGTATGCATGATTGCCAATTTTTTGCCTAAAGTCCGGTCGTTTTCCCGGTGGATGCTCGTTCATTGGAGAAATGCAAATTTCAAGGAAATCGAAAGATTATAAAGTCCTCAAAATGCGACTGCTTTTGAGTCTGCGATAAAATTGTGTATTTATCATGTTTGCGTTCGCGGAATTTCACCTCTAAGCTGAATTACGATCATACGGGAATACAGAATATCCTTGCAAAGCTACAGCTCTGCAGTTTGTCCGGTAAACGAAATATTTACTTTGCTACAAATATTTTTTAAGTCGCACCGCAACTGCAAATCCCCAACTTCATATAGATATACGATTTCCTATATGAACAATAAATATTCTGACAAAAAATCAGCCACTTTTTCAATTAGTTTTCGAGTGGTGCAGTGCCAACTGCGAACTTGATATGGCCGTACGCGTTGTGTAGACGTGCGCAATAGCTGAATTTGAAATCTTTAGCTCACACATGCACAGAGAATATTCCTGCAAAATATCAGTCTACTGTCTTGTCTAGGTCACGAAATCGTCTTTCGCTAAAAAATTTACATTTTTTTTCGGGGGTCCGTATGCGAGATCCAGGGGCGTATGAGCGGAGATTTTGATACGGAAGAATGGCAAATGAGCTGGGAATATGCATCCAAAATTTCAGCCTCCCAGCTTTCCTGGTTGCTAAGTTGAAAGTGGGTGACAAATTTTATTCACTTTCGAACACACGCACATACACACGGATGACCGCTCAACAATATGCATTTTTGCTCACCGCAGCAACGCTTTAGTGTTGCACACCAAAAACGCATAACAAAGCAAAATCCGGGGCGCCTGTCTCTCAGTTTGCTAAATGCATGTATTATTCGATAAGGCCTGTTTCGTGGTCGGAGAAGCGAAAACAATGGAAGAAGCGCAGGTCGCTGGTACCCTTCCGTGCCATTCAGTAAATGCAACACCAAATAATTGCTATCCAAATGCCAATTCCGCGCAATCAAGCATTTTTTTCCTCTCCACGAGCATGGCTGATGAACTTTTCATCCGCCAGTAATTATTACTGCTCCATGAAATCTACGGTAACAAACAGCCCCAAGGCAAAAAAAGACGACTGTGAACAATGCTCAAAGAACATTATAATCGAGAAACTGGCAAAATCAATTCTCTAGCGCAATTTGTACATTTTTCGCAATGCCCAGTGATTTTTAAACCACCTGGTTAGTAGTGCAACATTCGCAGGCGAAGTTCGCCAACATATGTGCAGGCGTCCCCTCAAATTATACCTTTTTAGGCATGTCCTGCATATGTTTTTATGCGTTTTTTGCAGCTACGCAGTGCAGAAAACGCATATTGACGAGAGTTTGTCTGTGTGTGTGTGTGTGTGTCTGTGTGTTCGTCTGTACCGATTTTTCATCTCGAGACCGGCA